GAAAGAAAGCTTTAGAGTTTTTAGTATTTTAGGGCAGGCTAGCAGAGATTGTTGGAGGAAGAGGAGAGGGGCAGGCTAGCAGAGATTGTTGAGGAAGAGGAGAGGGCAGGCTAACAGAGATTGTTGAGGAAGAGGAGAGGGCAGGCTAGCAGAGATTGTTGAGGAAGAGGAGAGGGCAGGCTAGCAGTGGTTGTTGAGGAAGAGGAGAGGGCAGGCTGGCAGAGATTGTTGAGGAAGAGGAGAGGGCAGGCTAGCAGAGATTGTTGAGGAAGAGGAGAGGGCAGGCTAGCAGAGATTGTTGAGGAAGAGGGAGAGGGCAGGCTAGCAGAGATGTTGAGGAAGAGGAGAGGGCAGGCTAGCAGAGATTGTTGAGGAAGAGGGAGAGGGCAGGCTAGCAGAGATGTTGTTGGAGGAAGAGGAGAGAGGGCAGGCTAGCAGAGATTGTTGAGGAAGAGGAGAGGGCAGGCTAGCAGAGATTGTTGAGGAAGAGGAGAGGGCAGGCTAGCAGAGATTGTTGAGGAAGAGGAGAGGGCAGGCTAGCAGAGATTGTTGGGGAAGAGGAGAGGGCAGGCTAGCAGAGATTGTTGGGGAAGAGGAGAGGGCAGGCTAGCAGAGATTGTTGAGGAAGAGGAGAGGGCAGGCTAGCAGAGATTGTTGAGGAAGAGGAGAGGGCAGGCTAGCAGAGATTGTTGAGGAAGAGGAGAGGGCAGGCTAGCAGAGATGTTGAGGAAGAGGAGAGGGCAGGCTAGCAGAGATTGTTGAGGAAGAGGAGAGGGCAGGCTAGCAGAGATGTTGAGGAAGAGGAGAGGGCAGGCTAGCAGAGATTGTTGGGGAAGAGGAGAGAGGGCAGGCTAAGTGGAGATTGTTGAGGAAGAGGAGGAGGCCTAGCAGAGATTGTTGAGGAAGAGGAGAGGGCAGGTTAGCAGAGATTGTTGGGGGAAGAGGAGAGGGGCAGGCTAGCAGAGATTGTTGAGGAAGAGGAGAGGGCAGGCTAGCAGAGATTGTTGGGGAAGAGGAGAGGGCAGGCTAGCAGAGATTGCTGGGGAAGAGGAGAGGGCAGGCTAGCAGAGATTGTTGGGGAAGAGGAGAGGGCAGGCTAGCAGGGATTGTTGAGGAAGAGGAGAGGGCAGGCTAGCAGAGATTGTTGGGGAAGAGGAGAGGGCAGGCTAGCAGAGATTGTTGGGGAAGAGGGAGAGGCAGGCTAGCAGAGATTGTTGGGGAAGAGGAGAGGGCAGGCTAGCAGAGATTGTTGAGGAAGAGGAGAGGGCAGGCTAGCAGAGATTGTCGAGGAAGAGTAGAGGGCAGGCTAGCAGAGATTGTTGAGGAAGAGGAGAGGGCAGGCTAGCAGAGATTGTTGAGGAAGAGGAGAGGGCAGGCTAGCAGAGATTGTTGGGGAAGAAGAGAGGGCAGGCTAGCAGAGATTGTTGAGGAAGAGGAGAGGGCAGGCTAGCAGAGATTGTTGAGGAAGAGGAGAGGGCAGGCTAGCAGAGATTGTTGAGGAATATTCCTACCTAATAACGGCCCCTCTCTCGGCGTCCCACCGGTCGGCCATCCCACGAATCTCATATGGTAGACCGTACGCTTCGAACCGTTTTTGTGTCGCAATTGGAGTACGGTCGTCACCTTTAAAAATAACAATCCTGGGTTCTCTCTCGGTCTTTCATTGCTGGTTTGAAATACGAATTTCAAGGTATTTTTTTAGATGTTTCACTTCCCAGGTGCGCCATGCACTCGGCATGCCAATCTAATTGGTGATTCGCCTGCATACCCCAGTATTTTTGTTTGGTTGTTGATCCATATCCGGATTTTACCTATTTTCAGAAACAATTCTCTCTCTCTCGCTCTCTCTCTCTCTCTCTCTCTCGCTCGGTCTCTCTAGCTCTCCCCGTGGAGCATCAATTTTTTGGAAATGTTAAGATATTTCATTTCAGAACAGAACGTTTGCGGGATAATCTAATTTAAGGCCGGTTTCAGGCTTAATTTTGCGATTTCCGGGCTCGTCCGGTCTTTAGAACGGGCGAAATCCATTAGTCATAAAACCATTAGTCATAACCCCATTAGTCATAAAACCATTAGTCATAAACCCATTAGTCATAAATTCCATTAGTCATAAACCCATTAGTCATAAATTCCATTAGTCATAAACTCATTAGTCATAAATTCCATTAGTCATAAACCTATTAGTCATAAATTCCATTAGTCATAAATTCAATAGTCATAAATTTTATTAACCGTAGATTTTGAGGTTTGAGTGTTGAGTTTTGAGTTTTGAGTTTCGAGGTTTGAGGTTAGAGGTTTTGAGGTGTATGTGATGGTCCTTGTTGTGTTCTCGAATCAAACTCCTTGGTTGCACGTGGTCGGATATCAATAAACCTATTAATTTTGGATTTGTTAACGGGATTATATCAGAGAATAACATTTCCAAGCAATCAGTTTCATAACATTTATGACTATTGGAATTTATGACTATTGAATCTATGACTAATGGAATTTATGACTAATGGATTTATGACTAATGGAATTTATGACTATTGGATTTATGACTAATGGGTTTATGACTAATGGAATTTATGACTAATAGGTTTATGACTAATGGAATTTATGACTAATGAGTTTATGACTAATGGGTTTATGACTAATGGTTTTATGACTAATGGGGCGAAATCCTTTAGAACCATAGTCAAATCTACCTCATTCTCCGCGGCGGACAGCGATTTGAAGCGAACCTCCAGATCTCTGGTTTCGACCTTGGAATTGGAATTGCCGGGCCAGTAGATCGGCGCGTTCGGGCCGGCTTCGATCTGGAAATAAAAAAAAGGTTGAAATGTGGATTTTTGTATCAAAATTTTAACGAATCGAAAAGGAGAATTTTAGAGGGAGAGTGATAGGGGCGTACAGTACCTCCTGTCACTCTACCTTTAAAATCCAAGAAATCGCCCACCGTAGCCTCGCACAACATCACCACCACGTTCACGTTCGATTCCCAAATCGTCGCCCAGAAATCGTCGACGGTACCCCTGAAAATTGAATTTAGAGGCCTGTTCAAGTCGGGATTCCTAAAGAATCTCTGCTGGGCTGCCCTCTCCTCATCCTCAACAATATTTGCTAGCCTGCCCTTTTGCAAAAATCGAACCTCATCGGAGCCTGGGCCAAGATGTAGTGCAACTTCTGGCCGTTCAGCGGTACCTATAAATACAAGCATGAATTGTTACCGGATACCCCTCGGAAAAAATTAAGAAGACCCAACGCGGCGTTGAATTAAAAATTTTTGAAACCTTTTTTTGTCTAACTAATCCCGGGCAAAGAAAAAAATCGTATTACCTCCACATTACTGGCGTTGACATATCCAGTGGAGTTCTTTTTGTGGGATTGGAGGACGACGCGGTTGTCTTCGTACGGCAGAATTGAGCGCGTGCGATTTTTGTTCTGAAAATAAGTAGTAAAAGCGTCGAGGCAAGAAATGTTTCAGCCAAAAATCTGGGTGCTTAATCGGCCTGAAAAATAATTCCATTGCTTCAAGTACGTTTGCCTGATACGATTCTTAAAGGGACGTTACGGCGAGGAATACGATAAATTCAGAGTGTATTGGATTCTCGATTTGATTTTTAGTGGGACGACACCATGTGCAAAAGATTGGCAAATCTACAGGGTGTCCCAAAAAAAAGTGCCCAAGTTTGTCCCCAATTATCTCGAGAAGGAAAGATATTTCACCGTGCGTTACCATGCCAGAATGCTTAAATATGTCAGGAATAGGGAAATAACTCAACTTGAGTTTTCGAATTTTTGACGACGTATCCATACAAATGACACCCGAAAACTGTGCGTTCCGGCAAAACTTCGATTGCATTTTTTAGGATTGCTGGTGGTCGAACACTTCCAATTTTTACAATGTAGGTACCTAAGAACTGCCCCAACGCACATCCGGAATTTTAGAATTTTTGAAGGTCAGGGTGGCAAGTTATAGCATGCTCAAATTTAATATGGAGAAATTTCGTAAATTTCGAATATTACAAAAACCTATGGTAGAAACCTCAAAATAAACTGTTTTAGCATGTCTATAGGCTCGATACAATCCCACAAAAATATCAAAAAAAATTTTCAGAACCGCGAATTTTTGAGTTTTTCGACGACCCCCTGGTCATGGATTCTTTCGAGGTCACGAAACTGAACTTTGGAAAAATATTTCTAAAATTGCAAATAGAATTTCGGTGTTTGCTTTGCTTGGTTGTGTAGGACTGGGGTCCATCTATCATGAAAACAATTTCTAGCTACCGTACCCCTTTGGAAGGTCGCCTTTTAGCGCCCCCAAAACGGATGGTTCGTGCTATTTCGCAGATCTTTGTGCCAGTCTATAAAATTCAATTGCGCGGCTAGAATTTTTGCCATAATTTTATTTAATGCTACTTAATGGGCGCATTCTAAAATTATATTTACAAATTTATTGGGCCATCCAATCTCTCAAAAGAAATTCATGACGAGTCCAAATATACCCGAATTCGGGACGAGGTAAAAAAATTCTCGAGGCTTGAGTAGCCTCAACTTTTTTTGGCATAAACTCAGCTTGAGTAGTCAACTAGAACCCATGCAAATACAAAATCTTTTCTTGGCAAACGAATTTAGAAGAGCGCCCCAAAGTCGGCTTTTCAAAAACGTTATTTTCGGGTTTTAAATCAAAATTAACCATTAACTTCATCCAGATCATTCCAGAATTCTGCTCTCATACACAATTCGATGCGTTCTTTAATTGTATCCACGAAACTCCGGTGACTTATTCATTTTCAAAAATTCGATTTTCAGCCCGGGGCCTCGGGTCCAAAATCGGGCCACGAGGGGGGTTTTCCTCTTTCCTTCATAACTTTGTCATTTGCCACAGGAATCAAGTAATTTTTTGTAGGTGCTCTTACAATCACCCAGAGAACAGTCTAGAATCAAAAAACCGTCATTTTATGGAATTTTTTCTTGGCATGCTAAAACGCGCTCCAGGCGGGTTACTGTAGAAAACAGAAAATCGCCGTTTTCTCGTTCTTTTCACCATAGAAACGTTTCGATCTTTCAGGAAAACGAATAATAGTAGTTTTTAGTCCGATGCGTCAAAACATTTAGAAATTTCCGTGGCTAAATTCGAAAATAAGTTTTTCACATATTTTGGGAAGGTGTATGGCTAGAACTCCGCGATATTTAGCCCATGGCTGCCCCTTACCATTGTTTACCGATGGTAAAATTTTGAGCGAAATCGCAGCTTACAATAAAAAGAAAAAGGCGAAAAACAAAAGCTACAGTATCCCTATGGGGCACGTTTTAGCAAGCAATATTGAAATGCCATAGAATCAGGTAAAATTTGGTGTTGTGCTAAAGATTATCATTCGGAGACACCATCTGCAAAAAATCAGCCATGGGCAGCGTGTTTGAAGCAAGTTACGAATTAAAAAGTAAAAAATAAGGAAAATAGGGAAATTTGTTTTACCTTTAAAAAAGAACTAAACCTTCAAAAATTCTAAGTCTTTGCTATTATTTTTCTGCAAATGTCAACTATTTTTCGGCCAAAAATCAGAATTTTCCCACCACCCGTTCAAGAACGCACAATTTTCGGTCGTAATCAGCGTCAATAGTACAGTTGCGTACTCAAAAATCGAAAAACCAAGTTGAGTTATTTCCCTATTCCTGACATATTTAAGCATTCTGGCATGGTAACGCATGGTGAAATATCTTTCCTTCTCGAGATAATTGGGGACAAACTTGGGCACTTTTTTTTGGGACACCCTGTAGTTGTGATACGTTTCTTTGGCATTTTTCGGGGGGATTGTTCAGGGAAGGACAAATTTTTTTTGAATATCCAATTTTTGCTATTCCTGCACGTAAAAACTTTCAAAATATCTATTTAAAAATACAAAAGTATCGATTTTTCCACCAAAATGTCCATGTTTCAAAATTTCCAAAGGTTTCTAAAATCGTTTTCCCTTGCAATCTGATTAAATGTGCTGATAAGTCTACTAAAGCGTAAAAAATTGCTCCTTAAACTCGTGATCCTTGATAATTTGATTAAAGGGACTAGGACAGCAAGAAGGAACACACCAGGTTCTCAGGTTTGCTGCTGGTCGCCGTACCGGCCGTGATTCGCTTGTTGGGGATTAATAGAAATTCCCGGCTCAACGCATCCATCGGGCCGAGCAGCTTCTTTTCGATGAGCAGCGCCTGGAAAATTAATTAAACTTCGGCTCTTCAAAGGCATATAATCCGCAACTTTAAAAAAATTTAACACGACGAAATCCGAAACATTTTTTTATCTAATAAGATTTTTTTTGGGTTTTTCGCCTTGGGTTCTTCTCTCTCTCGCCCTCTCTTTGTCTCTCGCGCCCTCTCTCTCGCTGTCTCTCTCTCTCTCTCTCACTCTCTCTCTATCTCTCCCCTCTCTCTCTCATTCTCTCTTCCGCTCGCTCTCTCTCTCGCGCTCTCTCTCTCGTTTTCTCTCTCTCTCTCTCGCTTTCTCTCTCTCTATCTCGCTCGCTCTCTCTCTTCTCTCTTGGCTCCTCGGAAAACAAATTCAAGCAGGCTAGCTAGCAGAGATCTTTTAGGACATTTTTAAACTCTTACCAAAGCGCCTTTGGCCTCGCCGTGAAATTCTCGATGTTCCATATTTATACCCATTTGGCGGGAGGTTCCCTAAAAGTAATTTGTTGCCTAAATTCAGTTCCAAAATCTTAAGTAAAATGTTACGAGCATCCAAATACTTTAAAAATTAAAAGTAAGGTTCCACTAAATTTAATTAAAAGTATTAGAAGGTAAAATACGGAGGATTTTGGGGTCTAATTCACTTTTTCTTAAAAATTTAATTTAGTTTCTTTTTAATTCCAATTATTTATTGAGCTGGATTCTATCTGAAACAGCTGACGAGCATTAAATTGGGCATAAATTTTCTATCAACTAATTTAGAAACGTCTTTTTCACGACTTTCCTCGATTTTGAGCCTCCCCAATCTCAGCTCGCGATCTTTAAGCGTATTAACAGCTTTTCACAAAAATAAATATAAATACAGGTTCATCAACTTTGTTGTTTTTCATTTTTAAATTTTTTTTATACAGAATTTAGCTTCAAAAACTTACCGGTTGGGATGCCTCTTCGTACAACCGCATCTGGGAGGAGGCGTTGGATTCTGAAAAATTTGGTTGAATTTTATGATGTTTCAAAAAGTGCTGGGATTGTATTATTAAATTGCTTTTTTAATGGGTAACGCACCCGCTGTACTAACGATAAAATATAACTTAACGATTTTAATCAATTATTTTAATTAGAACACGCTTCATTTTCAATTTCATTTTCAATGTTTCGGTACGGATTCAAATAAAGCAATCGCCAGGCATTTGCAATGAATATTTCGGTGGTCCGGGCTTACGAGAATCGCGCCCTCAAGTGAAGAATTTCTGCCATTAAACAGCAACTTCATTTATTCTTATTTCTATATTTTCATGAATATCCAAACTTCACGTCCTCGACCGCATCACAATTAGCGGTCGTAGCGTGGAGGATAAAAAATTAAACCAATTTTTGTAAGAATAAAATATACATAAATTGAATTGAAAATTTAATCCAAATTATAAAATAAAGAAAAATGTGCGCATTTTGAATGAAAATAATTTCTTTCAAAATGCCTACCAATCGTCGCCTGTGTTTCGCTGCTGTCTTGATGGGGGAGTACGCGAGTGGCCGTCGCAAGCCGAGGCTTAAAAGCACGAAATTTATCCTATTTTCCTCAATTATCTCTGCTAGCCTGCCCAAGAATAACACGGTTTCGTCAAATTCAGGAATGACCCAATAAATTGAAACATCATCGCTGTCAGCGAGTTTTCGTCATATTTTTCAAAAAAATGTTTTACCTAGGATCCGTTCGGATCCGAAAAAAATTTTTTACTTATGGCGTGACGTTGTGTCCTTTAAATTGTAACCAAATCTCGAATCTAGCAACTTTAATTTGGGCTTAAAATGGCTAGACAAGCTAAATTCGAAAAAGTGCACTTTAATCTTTCACCAATTCAAAGCCGTTTACTTGTAAAATTAACGCACCCTGCTCCCGGATTGTCGACTTTGCGGGGCGATTTGAGGAGGTTCAGGAGGGATCCACTGAAATAAGATGTTCGGTCTCTCTCACTCCCTCTCCCTCTCTCTCTCTCTCACTCTCGCTCTCTCTCTCTCTCTCTCTCTCTCTCTCTCTCTCTCTCCCTTCAGCCACGTACCATTCCCATAAACGTTCCCATCCCGGGCTGTAATCGGACATCCATCAGATTTGGGGTCGATTGGAACGAGGGACGGGGCGGGTCCTAAATTAAAGT